GAAAACACAGGAAATTGCCATCTTCATACACAAGAACATTATATCTACAATAATTTATCATAGCCGTTGATAATGCAGTTTTCTACAAATCCTTGTTTGATCCCAGCTACATGGCTAATTATTACAATTCCTCCAGTGGTGGCTGAATACATAAGAGAGCAAGAATGTTGGCTTGGTCTTCAAATATAGCATGTTCATTACAAGTCAGTATACTGGATGTTTCAGTTAATGCTTGTAGGTCAAGACCCTCCAAATGCTAGCTTCTTCCAGAAGATGTTTCCCATATACTAATATCAGTTGTATAGGCTATAAAAATAAATTTTCCTGGCACAATCAAAAAGCAGCAGGAATGATTTGGATGTCAGACTCTGCATCAGGTTGCTTCTCCATGACTGAGGTTCTAGCATCTGCAGGATGTGATGAAGAGAGAGCACAGCTGGATAACTGCATGCTCTAATTCATGTGGATAAGAAAGGAACATACAACACTACACTTGGCAATGCTGCAAGCACAATAGTAGCTGAATTCTTCCATGGAACCTCAGCTTATACATTTTTAATTTCTGTCTCCCTATTCACCTCAGTCCTATTTGGCAATTATGCCAATATAATTGTTACCCATTAGTTTAAACAACACTGTAAATTCAGAAAATGGATTCTACAATAAAAATCATAAAATGTTGCATGTTCTATATGTAAACATCAATAAACTACAGCCTTCATTTGTTTCTTTTAAGTCAATATGCATTTGAGTGTATGTTCTGCTTTGTGAATATAAACTCCACCTGGCAACAGTCAGGGCACCCTATGCTTTCTCCATAAAGAGCCTCTTTGGCCAGGAAGTGCTCTGGACTCCATCCATTGTTATGGCTGGGGTTTATCTCTTGAATTCTACCAGAAATTGATATGATAAATATCTTAAGAAAAGAAGTGATATATCTATTTCTTAAGATACTTGAGTTTTTCTTTTACAGTTTAATGCAAAGCGTTCCTAATATCACCATAACAAGGCCTGATCACCTTGTTACCTCCTAGCCAACCAAGAGTTATATGATTTCGCAAATGTTTACAGTCATATAGTTCCACAAACAGAGGCTAGTTGCATTGTAATACTTTAATACATTTGTAGGTTTAGACCTCAGAGGCACAGATATATGTATTACCTGCATAGACACATAATACCACACATTTGTTTTAACCATAAGTCATCCCTGTGAGGAAATAGGGTTATTTGTTTTAACCATAAGTCATCACTGTGAGGGGATAGGGCTATTGTGATAAGCTGCAATATAATAATTTTAACACAATCCATCAATTTTTCTAGGAAGACTTAAGAATGGAAATAATTTGCAAGTAGAATTGCAAATAAGAGATTTGTTCTGAATACATTCAAATATCTATGGATTTCTAGACATTGATTTTTTAACATAATGAAGTTATCGTTTCAATATTTAGTCAACAAAAAGTTCCAAAGTCTCTTTCTTTGTTAACTGGAGTTCTTTTCATGGGTGGCCATGGGGACGGGGTGGGGGGCAGCTGCTGCATGCAAGAAAACCTGCTAGTCCCTACCACACATAGATAGCAAGCAACCTTAGTAGCTTAGATTAGCACAGAAAGTATTAAGATACCAAGAAAACAAGGGTTGTTGTATAGTCAATACTTTTGACAGGTATAATATACATTTAGGAATAAAAACAGCTGCTATTTCTCTTTGTGCAAGTATTACAAGTTAGCAACACCTAGCTCTCTAATTTGTCCTACAACATCATTACCTTTAGATACCTTCTGATATAATAAGCAATTTATAATATATTTCCTTCCCACCAAAGCTTAACCATTCTTAATTGAAGAAAATAGCATCTAGAATAAAGCTTTGGATGCAGAACTATAGAGTTCACAACTCCTTGAACCTTCAGTATGAATATTAACTTGTATAACCACATTTTTCTTCTTCTTCTGCAGTATAATTAGCGTTTCCTATAAAGGAAGTCCTATCTGGTTCCTTTCATGGGGGTGGGAGGCATTAATCAGGTGAATAAGCATCTTTCCCTTAATTCTTCTTGTTGTAGCACAGGTGCTCAACAGAAGAAGCCACAATGATGTCATGTTATCACACAAATGATATGAATTTTGTCATTTGTGTAAGTTGCATCATAACATATCATTGGTGTCATTTGCATGACTATGACCCCACTAAGGATGTCCACGACTCTTCCTCTCTTTCCTAAACAACTAGCCACTGGGAATTGTTTTCATCAAATATACAAGTTATTCCAGGTTTTTTAAAAACAAGCAGTTTGTTTGAATAACCCAAATGTACTAATCAAATTAATTCTGATTGCTATCTTATGACCAGATAAATTTGATTAGTCTTGATTGTATTAGCATATTGTCCTTGTATATACTGCTTCTGCCTGAGTCTTTGAAGTTCTGGGAAAATCCAGGTCTGGATGAGTAAATCTGGAGTTATCTTTCTCTTCAATCAGTGAATGGCCTCACATGCCAAAGTCATGCTGAAACTTTTGTTTTGACTGCTGCTGGAACTTTCCTCTTTAAGATCTAAAACCACAATGTAGCAGTCATTCCAGCTATTCTTATGTTCCATATAGGAAGGGGGAATGTGGGGAGAAGGAGAAAAATTAGACTTGTAAGTTTTTTTTATTTATATTTTTTTAAGAATACATCCAGTGCATGAAAGCTCTTGGATGTGTATTTATTAGATTGTTAAATTGTCAAAATTTATTAATCATATTAATATCAATAATATATAACAAAGGAAACCCTACAAAAAGGATCCTTACAATAAGGGTTTGAAGTCAAATATGGCAACATCCCAGCAGAAATTGTTTTATAAAAAGAGTGTGACTTAGACATGAAACATATTTTTTATATTAAGTATATGCCATATGACTATCCCAGCAAATGTTTCCTAAATGGCTATTTCAAATATGAGAACAGTGTTTATATTGACACTTCAGTTATGCATTTACTTCTTCTATTCAGCTTTATATCGAGGAGGTCATGGCTACATATATGGTTCCCTTGGCTCCATTTTGTCTTAACAACAACCCTTTGTGATATAGTGAGAGATTTTGACTTGGTACATACATTGTGCTAAGATATGATTTATTTTTCCATGGTTTAATAAACAAGTTACAATTGACTGGACTCCATATCTTGCATTGAATCATAAACCATGGATTACAAACCACAATATCTGGATTCATAGAACACTTTTTGTAAAAAAATAAACAAGTCTTAAGGTGACTTATTGTGAATATGAATCTAGATGGGGCAAAAGTCACCAGTCTAGGGCCTGCCATGCTTTCTAAATAGGCATTATAAAATTGGCTGTTATTTGTACATATAGGGAAACAGCCTGTTTCCCCTTAAATAAAGACTGTATCTCATTAAGGTAAGCCTGGTCTTTTGCTTTCATACCCCTTCTAATTGACTATTATATCTATTAGTTGTTCTTTTAAATCAGGGGTGGGCAGAAAACATCTGGGTTTATGGATAGAGCTCTCAGTGGTGGTGCAGTTCAGAAATGCTTTCTGAATCCCAATGACTTAATAATAGGAACAAAATGACCAACCTCCCCCCCCCCCACCACACACACACGAAGAAAACTTAGAATAAATTGGAGGGAATTTTAATATGGAAGGAGGTCAGTTCAGTGAGGTTGGTTTTCTTTAATCCAAGATATCCAGTATACTTTGTAGTGGATCCCAGCTTTGGTTTAGGTATTTGGTTTTCCTGTTATGGGTTGGTCTTTCAGTCAGCCGTCTCTTCTTTTCTTTCATATATGTGTTTTATAATTTTATTTCACTGTAAGCCACCCAGAGTTGTTGCAGAGTTGAGCAGCCTCAAAATCAGAATATTAAATTAAATTTTAACAAAAATTAGGACACATTCTGTAATAAAATACTTAATCACATTGGATGCTAAGTCCAATAATGAGAGAGAAAGTGGGAGGGGAGCAGTGGAGGCTGATGCTAGGTTAGATGCAACAAAATTTCTCACAGTTGGATCTTAAGATAATTTAATGTTAAGGAAGCTCACATGAGAACAGTGTCCTTCCTTCCTTCCGTTGCCACCTCTGAGTCCCCAAAAGCCTTGGGATGGGGGCCATGTACTGGGGGATGGGAAAACCAGTTGAAATTGGGTGGATCATCTATTTTAGATTCATATGTTCTGATGGGTTCAAAAGCTTAGAATCCAAGCCAATATCAACAGATTGCGGTACAATTGTTACAATTCCAGTGTAAAAAATAATAATTCCCCCCACTGGGTCAATACAGTTCCTTCCTTTCTCCCACCTTTTTTTCCTCTTCTGCCTGTCAATTTCTTATATTTATGAATGCAAATAGAGACATAGAAATCTCAACCTAATATATAAATAGCTACTCCATTATTACTCTTATCCTATCTTACAGGAATACTGAGAGGATGAATTAGACAGCCTGCCCACCATCCTGGGCTTTTTGGAAGGTTAGATTAAAAACGCACAAATAAATCACTCCTGTTTGAAAAGTTCAAGAAAGAAAAGACTGCTGCATGGGAGGTGTGTAATCATATAAATATATTTTATATGGCTCGATTCTTCCAGGAGTTATATTTCTATCTTTGTCCATTGGACAGCACATTCCACTATTAAACTTGGTTGGAAGTAAGTATGTTTAGGCTGGCTTTTATTCTTTGTCATAGACCATCATATTCTCCTCTTTCTTCTTACGCCTTGTGCGAATTAACATACCTGATGATATGCATGCCCGGAAATAGGCCCCACTGAATTCCATGGGTTTTTCTTCTCTCACGTGGAGTGCCTCGAAAAGAACGCACATTCCTCATATTGGCCCATTGTCTCCTCTGCAAAGCTATCCCCCGCACCCACCCCCCACGCGCGCAGCGACACCTTGCGAAATAGACGGGCGCCCACGTGGGACTGCGCAGCCAATAGCTGCAGGAGGGCGGGTCAGACGCGGGCAGGTTTGTAGCATTTATTGGCACTGTGTCGGCCGGCCGGTGGTAGGATTCTGGTCGGCTGGCGATCCTTGAGTTGGCTCGTCGGCTCCGCGGGGAGGCGGGGGTGGCCATGGAGCGCGTCCCGCCTTCCGATGCTCCAGCGGTCTCCCCGCTCAAAGATGGGCTGTTGCAGTCCTCCGGCGCTCCGATGAAAAAGCAAGCGGTAAAGCGGCACTACCACAAGCATAATCTGCGGCACCGCTACGAGTTCCTGGAGACGTTGGGCAAAGGCACCTACGGCAAAGTGAAGAAGGCGAGGGAGCGATCCGGCAAGCTGGTAAGGAGGGCACGCGGCTTCCTTCCAACTTTCCCTCATCTGGTGCCTTTCGGTTGTGTTAGCGCACGACTTCCCGGTCCAGGGGCCGGGCTGGCAGGGGATGGTGGGCCGTGTGTTCCAAGCACATCTGCAGAGCGCCAGGTTAGAGAAGGAGCCTGGCTTTATGGGGCTTCGGTATATTTGTGTGCGCCTAATGGATGGGCAGCTGGAAAGTGAAACTCCGAGCGACCTGTGCATGTACGCGCGCGCCTCCTGAATTCTGGCCCCGTATTCCAGGAACCTGCGTGCGCGGTCGCGGCTCTGGTGTCTGCGACTTGTTGGCAACGAATAAACCTTGCTTTTGAGCTAGTCGTTTGTTTATTTATCAGATTTATATAGCCTCCCATCTCACAAGAAGTGACTCTGGGCGGCGTACAACAATCAGGTAAAACAATATATTAAAACAATCATTATAAATAATAAATCAATCGCTACTAAAGATTAGACTATACAAACCACAAGGCACAGGAAAGAGTAATACAGCCATCAGAAAGATAAGCAATCAGATGTTTTTCCACTTTAATTTTTTTCTTCTGACCCACTCAGAATCTTTTTCCTGTCTCCATCCGATGTTTTTTGGTAGGGGTAACCTTGGGGAAATTTATCGATCCAAGCACTCTTTTGAATTTTCCCGCTATTTGTCTGCCTGCGTGTGTACTTGTGAGGGAAGGAAAACTCTCTACTTTCCTGCCTTTAGTCTGCAGGCTTTATCTTCTTTTCTTGTCCTCCAGCTTGTTAAGCCATGTAACCCACTAACA